CCTCGTGTTATTCTGCTAGTTACTTAAAGCATTGCACGTGGTGCAAACATCCAATGACACTTGCCAGTAACCCTCGGTCCCGTGCTCAAATACGGAAAAAAGTCGAAACAGCGTACTGATATGCCAGACCACCCAGCCAGCCTGCAAACATTTGCAATTCGGCCACCGACCGAACCTAAACATGCGCCTCTGCCCTCTCGGCCCAACACCTCCCCCAACGAACCCCCACAACTCCAACCCCCCATGTTTAAAACCCATCTATCTTCTGACTCAAAGCCTGGCAGCAGAACCCCATCTTACCTTGCCCCTCTTCTTCCAAACCAACACCAACAACTCCCAAACGTAAATCATGACTGTAGAAACCAAAGACCTCCCAGAGAGCAACTACCTGCTCGACTACGACGACACGGAAAAACGCCGTCTCCGCGAACAACACGACCTCATCAAAGCATACACCGGCAAACTCATCCTCGCACCCCTAGACCTCACCAAACCCAATCTAAAAATCCTAGACAGCGGTACCTTTGACGGTTCGTCCCCCCTTTCCCCACAAACTTCCCGGCCCCCAATTCAACCCCCAAACTCGGCCACTAACCCAACTCGCAACCACCAGGCCACTGGCTCACCGAAGCCGCCAAACCGCTAACAACCCCACTCCTAACCGGCACCGACATCTCCCCCGCCGCCTTCCCCAACCCCCCACCCCAAAACACCTCTTTCCACATCCAATCCATAACCGACCCCTGGCCCGCCTCGTGGCAAAACACCTTCGACCTCGTCCACCAACGCCTCGTCCTCGCCGGCACCACACCCACGGGCGGCCTCGACGCCGTGCGCAACCTCGCCGGGCTCGCGAAACCGGGCGGCTGGGTCCAGTTGATCGAGGGCAAACTGCTGGCCGAGTCCCAACGCACCCGGTTCCCGGCGCTGCATCGGTTTCATAGTTTTATAGAGCGGATGTTGCCTGGATTTGGGTGGAATATTCGGGCCGGGTTGATGGTGGGGGGGTGGTTGGGCGAGGTTGGGTTGGAGGAGGTTGGGGAGATGGAGGTTGAGATTCCGGTGGGGAGGGCGAATGGGGATGGGAGGTTGGGGGCCATGGCGGAGAAGAATTTGAGGGATGTCATGGGCGTTTGGAGACAGGCTAGTTCGAGTGAGTCTTTGTCCTGTCTTCTTGCTTTTCTTGTCTCTTGTTGGTTTGCTTGTTGGCCGACTTGTCTCCTCCATCCATGCTAATTCTTCAAAATCGCAGAATTACCCGCCGACTCACCCTTCAAGGCCTCCGAGCTTGAAGAAATCTTTGTAGACTTGGACAAGGAGATTGAGACCATTGGCAGTCTTTTGCGCTTTGCCGTTGTCTGGGGCAGGAGGCCAGCTCTTGACTGAAGAAAGGAAACAACAGAGAGTAGTGTAGTCAGACGAATAGTAGTACAGTACACACAGTGCTTCTCAAGTTTTCATTTGTCCAGATTTCTAATGTGGACTACGTC